TATTCAGTCGGTCAGCTTTATCGCCAAGTTTGTCCAAAAACAGCGAACAATTAGCGCAAAGCTCTCAATTGCTGAGGCATGCAAATTGAGTAGCCGCATGCGAAAATGCAAAGCAGGCAAAAGAGGCGGCAGCAGCATCCACAACAACAACAACAACGTCGTTTGTTTGCCATGAAAACAATAATAAAATAGAGCGAGAGAAAGATAGAGGGAGAGAGAGAGAGAGAGCGCCGAGTGTTTGGCATTTGCAAAACGAAAAATGGCAAACAATTTGCGCTCATTCCGTCTTGAAAATGAGTCAAACTGCCAATGGCAGCACAAAAGCACTCAATGCCATTGCGTCGGCGCTGCTCTTTGCTCTCTTTCGAGTGTGGTTTGTTGTTACGAGAATGCTCAGAACACAGCAGCGCAGCTGGCAGCACAGCGGCTACAAGCTACAAGCTTTCAGCTGCGCTGGCATTCCACTCATTCGTCTCTGGTACGTTGTCGTTTGTGCAGGCAAGCAGCGCTGTGAGGCGCTCGAGTTTTTCCGTGCGCACTTCTAAACTATAAATCTTGAAAAGCAAAAAAAGAAAACCTTAACTGAAACTGGACTCGGCGACTTGGCCAAAAAAATTAATCAACTTTAAACAAATATATAAAACCAAACTGCGCTATCTTTTATTTAATTTATACCGAGCAAAACGTTTTAAAATAGTTTTTTGTTTAACTGCGTCAACTTGTGCAAATAAATACAACACACAAACACACACACCCACACATAACAAAAGCAAAAAGCAATAAGTCGACTATAATAATAAACTCTATATTTTTCAACTTTCGCTGTAAATAAAACTCGAAACGATTGCATTTCCGTTGTATAAATAAATAAATAATCAAATCATATAAAATACTAAAGCAAATGTTTTGAATTAAAAGGTAAAAATTTAATAAAATACTAAGCCAAATTTACGTTCAAACTGTAAAATACCCCAAAAAAAAAAAAAAAAATTATATAAAAAAATACTACAATTAATGAAAAGCAAAAAAGAAATAAAAGTTTTTGAATGCTCTGTTAAAAAAAAAAAATAACAAACATAAACTCAATTAAGCATTATTCAAAATATTCATATATGCTAGCTGAAACAAAATGTATATATTTTTGACAAAAATAAACTTTTATTATGCGTGGATTTGACAACGACAAAAACATACACAAACACACATAAATATATTTTTATATGCGCTTATGTGTGAGTGTGTCAAAAAGATTATCAAAAAAAAAAAAAAAAAAGAATACGAAAGAAAGAAAATCAAGTAAAATAAATGTTCAACTTTCAAAGCAAAAAAATTGAACATCCAAAAAATGAACTTTTTTCGTATTGGGGCAAAAAAAAAGTGCGCACGTTTGTTACACGCGTCAGCGAAAGCGAATGAGAAAAACAATAACAACAAAAAGAACAACTGATCATATAGCAATGCATATTAATTAACAAACAATTACAAAAATCAAGCAAAAATAGGAAGAAAAAAAACTTTTACACAACACTTGCACCTAACCTACAAACCGAATGCTGCTGCTGCTGCTGCCAACGCTGCTGCAGCGGCAGTTTCAAGCGCAAAAAAAAACCCAAAAACAACAACAACAATAACATTTTTATTGCAATCTGCGTTTTAGTCGGCGCAGCGTTGGCGCTGACGTTGACGTCGCGCGACCCCCACAGCGAAACGCACGATCTGTCTACCGCTGCTGCTGCTGCCCACTCTCTCTCTCGCTCTCTCCCTCTCTGACTCTCTTGTGCTCGTTCTGCGTGCAGTTGGGCTCTCAGCAAAGCGCACAGCGGCGTTTCATTTTGTTTCGCTTTTGTTTTATTTATTTTGGCTATTTGGCATTTCGTTTTGTTTTTAATTTTTTTTTTTTTTTTTTCGGTTGTGTGTGTTGGTTGGGGGGACAATTACATTTGCATTTGCATTCGCATTACATAAAATTGCTGAGCGAGTTAATTTGTTGATGAAATTTAATTGAATTGCAGCTTAATTAGCATTTAGCATCGACTTGTCAATAGACAAACATGCAAGCATGCACGCATACGTACACACAATCATGTGTGTGACTGTGTCTGTGTGTGTGTGTGTGCAGGCTCATGCCCACGCATAGGCTGGTTACACAATTTGACGTTGTGTGTGTTGTGGCCAAAATGCGCTTGTCATGTCTGCTTGTCCCGCCGTTTATAGACTACTTAATTCAGATTCTATTAAAAACATACATACACACACACATACATGTGCATATAGTTGCCTCCTTTGCCTACTGCTTTTTATTTTCATTCAATTTAATACACATTGCCTTTTATGTGCGCGCACACACGCACGCACACAGAGAGAGGGAGAGAGAGAGAAAAAAAAAAAACAAAAATGTTCGTCAAAAGCAATTACTGCTATTTTACGTTGAGTTGAGCTTCACATGATGCTGCTCCGTTATTGCTCTGCAATTGAAATCAACATCAACATCAGCGGCAGCGGCAGAGGCAGCGGCAGCGGTAGAGACAGCAAAAACAACAACAGGAGCAGCGCAAATAAGAGCCGCATCTTCAGCCAGGCAGACAGAATTCATTTGTTTTATATTCTTTCTTTTTGTGCTTCTGCTCTCCACTCTCCATTCTCTTCCTGTTAGTCTGTGTCTTCTTGTATCTGAGCGCTGTGTCGTGTGTTTCGACTCAGTTTGTTACACAATTAAATTGTTGCTTTAATTTAGTTGAATCAACTTCTTCATTCATATAGTTGTCTATGCATATATGCATATTTTAAGAATATATATTTATTTTTATTTTTCGATTTGCCATTACCAATTGACGTTAACTGCATTACTAATGCACTTTTAAGTGATTATTTTTGTTGCGGCTATTTACACTTTACCCCCATCTTGTTTAGTCGCGCTCTCGCACTCTGATCACCTTTACTGCGCGCGCTCTCCCGTCACCCTCTCTTTCTGCCAATGCATAAGCAGAAAAGTGTGCCGCTGAGTGTTTGCAGTGTTGAGAATGCATAAGTGTATACACGTGCATGTGTGTGTAAAGAGAGAGAGAGAGAGAGAGAGAGAGAGACAGAGCGAGAGAAACGCACTCACATCACGCGATCAATTGCTCGACTTTGACTGTGGCTACATGAGTGTGTATGTGTGTGTATTACACAGAGTTCAAGAGTTTAGGCGCCCTCTCGCTCTCGCGCTTATCAGCAATGCTTAAGGTGTTGCTTTCGTCACAGCTTAGCTTTAACAGGCCAACAAAGATTCAATTAAAAGCTCAAAGGCTTAATCTTTCATTGATTTTAAGCTGCAAGCTTTTTACTGTTATTGTTGTTGTTGTTGTCGTTATTTATTTTCACTCATTTTTGGCAATTTAATTTAAAATGATGTAAGCCTCAAATGTAGGTTCGAACCGGCTGCAACCGGCAAAAAGTACATAAAAAGAAATAAAAATAAAAAAAAATAGATGTAGCAATTATTTAAGTGTGTTCTCTGTTCGTTTTGCTTGTTAGCTTTGCGGCTATTGTCGCAAATGCTATTGTCCCATTGATTGCCTTCCGGCATAGTTCTCTTCCACTCTCCCGCTTCCACTCTGCCGCACGCTCACTCTACTCATTGAATGTGCCCCTATGTGTACGTACGTATGAATGTGTGTGTATGCAGGTGGGTGTTTGTGTGGGCTGCTTCTGCTGCTGCTGCATCATTCGGTGTACAGTTAAGTTTCCACAATTTTCCATTGTCAACAACCGCAATTTGACATTGAATCTTCACAGTGGGGCCGGTCACTTCTGGTGCCTACCGCCTGATTCTCGAGTGCCCCTACTACGACGTCAATGCCAGCCACCCCACTCACTCCGACCAATACTACTGCGTATTAACTATTTCACCAGAGGGACGAGCCCCCAAAGAGGCGAAAAAAAAAAAACAAAAACAATATAAAAAACACTTGTTGACTTTGACTTAAAAAGTTTACAAATATTTGCTTTTGCTTGAATCATATATTATTTGTGCCTCATCATGCTCCAGGCTTCTTATACTTGCTTTTTGTTTTTATCTAAAACTTGTAGGACGGGGTGTTCCACAACCAAATTCACGTCTCTTTCACGTGCTTAACGGCACAACGCACAGCCGCTGCGTGCATGCACACAGCACAGCACAGCACGGCACAGCCCAGCTGAGTTTGGCCGATTGTACCGTTTCTATCTTATCAATAAGCATTTGCCGGTACTGTAAAGACTATAAAGACGACTGCCACAAACACTCTAGACTCGCTCAGTTTTCATGCCAACAGCCAGGCTACAGTCACGGGCGCAACGTATGCTGCTTGATCTTCAAAGCATATACATACATATAGCATGTTAATATATTTTATATAAATTATATATATTTATATATATGGCTCTGTTGCCATGATCTGCTGTTGGCTTATCAATTGCTATGCTAGAAAAATGTAACGCTTTAATTAGCCTGTCAGACACACCCACCAAATGCCGCTTATCGCTCGGCGACGTCGTCTTGTCTTGGCCCGGTTAATTGATAAGCCCGAGGGCGGGCTGTGGGCAGGGTTGGGGCATATTGGGGCCTAAGGCGGTTGGTAAGAAATGTCCATTTGGCGACATTTCCGCAACAAGCTTATCTGAAATAGAACGGAATGAAAGAAACGAGTAAAAAATTTTCCAATACTCGAAGCACAGAAACAGCTCAAAAATCAGGCTCATTAAAAGTTATATTAATTAAAATAAGCCCATTACTAACCAGAACTATGACATATGCACATAAATATTTCAAAAGAAAATTTAATATTATATGAAAAAAAAAAACAATTGCAATTATTACGAATTGCGCGCGTTCTTTGCTTTCGCGGTCGGTGGTGTAACAAACGAGTGCAATTAAAAACAAAAAAAATAAATAGAAAAAAAAGTCAGGAGAAATAAAAGAAAACAACTTTTATATGATTATCATTACGATACGCGTTTTGTGCATCGCCTTTTTGCAGTAATCTTGAGAACAAACATGAGATTTATTCACTTGCACAACAAACGGCGGCAAGTGAGGAACAGGAAAACAAGAAACAACAGCAACAACTATCTGAAACTAACAACAACGAAACAACAAACAACACTGCAACAGCAATTGATAAACAAGGTGAAGCAGAAGCAACAACAACAACAGCAACAGCAACTGCAACTGCAACTGCAACTGCAACTTTAGAGCTAGCGGACAAACCCAAAGTGAATGAAACTGCAAGCGAAAAAGCAACAATTGAAGCAACAACAACTGCAAACACTGCAACAGCAACAGCAGCAACTGCTGCTGCAACTAACCCACCAGCAACAACAACAACCACAGCAAGCAACACCACAAAAACCTCACTTTTAGATATAATAACGAAATCAAAACAACAACAAGTGCAACCTGAGCTGCTTATCAAACGTGAAAACAACTCACCTGGGCCGCGCACCATCACCGCTCAGCTTCTTAGCAATTTGCGTGTCAACAACAACAACAACAACAACAACAACTGCGACAACAACTGCGACAACTTGCTGGCACGCGAAGAGAAACGTCCCAAATCGGTGACCGCCTCGCTCATACGCAGCACACCGCCCGCCGCTGTGTGCAAGAAAAATTTTGTTGCAGCCACGCTGCAAACGCTGCCGCCGACAACAACAACAACAGCTGCCATACTACACTCCAGCAATCAACAGCAGCAGCAGCAACAATTGCAACAGCAGCAACAGCAACAACAAGCACAAGATATGAATAAAGGATTCTTATCATTCGTTGATGATGGCCGAGGCTTAACAAGTAAGTAGAACAAAGCACAACAACCCAACCCCACCCTACCCCACCCATCTAATACACACCCAATCATAACCTCAACAAGAACAGCAGTAACAATCCGCTTACGATTACATGTTGCATTACGCAAGTTGATAACCCTCCTCAACTCGAAAGGTGCGCACAAAATATAATAGTTGTATATGCATACATATTATATAGGTAGCTCTCGGCTGATAAGCGCCAGAGTTAAGTGCAGTTAGAAAACGTCATCACAATCAATTCACATTTCAGAGTGCAGCAATAGGTCAGCATTTTTTTTGATACCCCAACTTCAAGGACAGATTGTGCAGTGTTAGGCTCTATATAGAAGGAGATTATACCGAAAGCTTAATCATGAGTGCAATATTTCACTAATGAAAACTTTTACAATCGGTTATTATTTGCTCTTCCATGAAGCATTAGTTCGTTGTAAAAAAGCCTATTTTTTTGTAAGACCGACCCGCATTTAGAAAGTTACATTTCTGACTTACGGTGATAAATTTAGCAAACTTCTGGGAAGCAATCAAAATTAATCGAAGCTATTTTTATAGTCTACGACTAAGACATAAATACCAGATGCTGAGTCTGCGGTTTCAACCTGGAAACACATTCCCTGATTCCACACATTCCCTGATTGAGCGAAAAGAACGAAGTATATATTAGAATTTTCCCAAAGAATCACTAAGAGATGAGAAGTTTTTTGTAAAGATCACTTTTTTTTTTTTTCTATTTTTCTACTGAAAGTTTTGAATTTTCAAGCAAGAAGTGTATCCCTAAATTTGAAGTGTGACCATAATTCATTAATATGCATTTTGGTATTTAAATGAAGAAATAAAAGAAAAGAGTTAATTTGTATTTAGTCTGTTTATTGTAATACCTTCATTTACTCAGAATAAGCAGAATTCTTTAGCTCAATAGAAAACTCGAATTACAATTAATGAATTTTTTTTATAGCCAAATGTGTTACCGTATATTAGTCTTGCATAGGTTTTGTCTTAAGAGCATTTAGTTATGATTTTGCTGTTTTTGTTCATATAAGAATTTTGATCTAATCGAAGTTGTCTTTTCTCTGGGAGAGTTATATTATATGATTAAAGAGTTGTACTTATTATATTGGAAACCAGTCAGTTCTTAAATCTTAATAGAAAATAGTTTAATTGCACTTACGAGCAATAAAAACATGTATTTTATAGGCGCTTGTCACTAGGAAATAAGAAAAATACTAAAATACGCACACACTCGAATGCGTAAGAATTTGTATTTATTTATTTTCTTGTTGTTGTTATTTTCTTATGCCCTATGCAAGTTGATAACCCCGTGGGGCAATTTCCCGGATCAGAAATAGTCCAAAATGTGCATTAGCCAAAGACCAAGGCTAGCTTGTGTGTGTGTGTGTGTGTATATATATGTATATTACATTATAATATAATATATATATATATATATATATATATATATATATGTATATGGTAGGCACATATTCATACGAGTCGCGCCCGTTTATAAGTAGATTCTGTATACAAAAAAATACTCAGGCAAGCGCCTGACGCGCGCTATTCGATGCGATTTGATGCATTGTCGTAACGTTTAATTGGTCAAACTGTCGTTTAGTCAGACAAACAGTCAGTCAGTCAGTCGGTCAGTCAGTCAGTCAGTCAGTCAGTGAGTCGGTCAGTCAGTCAATTGCTTATCACCGTTTGTGGTCGCAATTTGCGCAAATCAAACGATTTATTTGTAAAGACAAAAACTGCAAATGCACAACAACAACTGCAACAACAACAACAACTGTAACAACAACAACTAGCTTGAATTTTGTAAACAAAGTGCAGCAAACTAGCCCCATACTCAGCTATGCCATACAGAATGCATGCATACAGACATACATGTATGCACATGCATTGATATGCACATATTCTCGTATAGTAAATGCATCAACATTTGCCGGTTGGCAATTTTTTTTGCCTTTCAATTTACGTGCATTTCTTGTTGTTTTTATTTAGTTTTGTTATTTTGATTTTTGCTGTCATAATCGCTTAATATTACGCATACGCCGCGTTTAACCCACCAAAGCCGCAAACATTTTGTTTTCTGCTGTGAGATTTTCTTCAGCCTGGGCATATTAGCCCGATGCCAATTAATATGTTAAGCGATATGCGGCTGTCGTCCAGTTTGCTTGGCGCGTGTGGCACAGCCTCCGCCGTGGGGCTCCGCCCGAGCGCTGCCGCTTGTGACATGTGTCAGCGGCACCGACCGCCCACGCTTTAGGCCCCTGATTTTCCCCGCCTACGCAGCTACCTTTTCACATACATTCCATTTGGTGGCGCGTGTTTTTTTTTGAGCTATTTTTGCTGCAGTTCGCTTGGAAACTGTCTGCAAATAGCAATTGCTACTTTCTGGTATACCCTTTAAAATATCAATTGTCTGTGCTATGTCTGTGATAGGCAGGCCGATTCTTTTGACTAGGCTTATCGATAAAAATTGAATAATAACTTTTTCATCTTTAGTTAGAACAACTCTGGCAAATTTAGTAAACTATTTTGTGTCAGAATCAATAATGAATGATTAATTTTTTTCTGCACAATCGATAACTATCGAGTTTTGGCTTACAATCGATAATTAACGCATGTTACTGCAAGATCGATAAATCTCGCATGTTCAAATCAAAATATTCCAAACCGATAAATATCGAATATCAACGCAGGCTAGTTTATAAAAAAAGTTAACAGGGCATCTCTAAGAGTGGCATTTGGGTATACCCTATTTTATGCTCCGCTATTTTAATATATTTGATTATATTCTTTTCTTATCTGCACAGGGCATTTTCCAGTCGATCCACAGACCGCATGCTTAGTTTTTTCTCTTTTTTTTTTTTTTTTTATTTTTTCTACTCTGGCTTTTCTCGCGTTCTGTTGACATTTTGTGCTGGCTGCAGACGCCACACATACTTCAGTTTTTTTTTCCCATATTTCTTTTGCTCCCTGTTATTTCTAAATTCTTTTTTTTTTCGTTTTTGGTTTTTTTTTTTGTTGAAGTGTCTATATTTATTTTGTTTTAGTGGAACGTAAATAAACAGGGAAGCACTTATTATATTTATTTTCGTTGTAGATAACCGCAAAGAATTGCCAGTTATAGGAACTTGATTCGGGAATCATTTGATGACTCGCGTAAATATTGTGCAATATATTGTATAACATTACTACTACTTAATATTCTGCTGGTAGTTTTCCAGATGTTCATTATCAAGTTAATCAATTGTATTGTTTTTTTCTGGAAAGTTCACCCCACGCGACTCGCTCTACCATAACCCGTTCAACCTATTTACTATAATCTCTGTAATACTTAATTTGCTAAGTCAAACATTTGTGCAGCACCCAAAAGAGACAACATTTACTGTTGACTATCGCCAAACTATCGCTTAATTATCGCACATGCCGCCACGAGCCAGCCCCAATCAATTTTTTACTTTTCCACTGTCTCTTTGACTCTGTGCGTAAAACCACCCAATTCCGCACCCAGAACACGCGCTGATATGCCATAAACACACGCACAAGTGGGTGCCTAATCGCGACCTCTAGAGTGCTCGAGCTCTTAAATAGGGGCGGGGACGTAGTGCGGCGCTTACATAAAGATGCCATCAAATGCTCTCTATACACTGTTCACAAATTGAACAAAAAAGGAGTATAGGTATACTCATTTATTTGGCTGCTTGATAGCTTGCATTTAAAATAGATTTAAAATCGCAGCTGTCCCAGCTAAAGAGCTACTCAATGATTTTTGTATGTATACTACTTTTAAACCCCCTCCTAAGATTGACTCTAAGAACATTCTTGCCACGCCCCCTTTTAGCCTAAATATCATATTTGCCAAAGATAAAACTATCGCCTTATGACAGTCTTAGAGTAAACAGCTGACAAGCAGACTTGATTTGCCACTTCTGAAAGCAATTACAGCGTATTGCGCAGTCGGTTGCATTCGATTGCGATACTCAGATTTGTTGTCTGTTTTCGAGTGTTCGTCTTCGTTTGTTCTTTTCTTTTAATATACCGAAATCCGAAATTTGATTTCGGGCTGTCGCTAAACTACGTCATTATTGTGTTGATCAACATCATCGTCATCATCATCATCATCATCATCATTTTGGCTGTCATCATCATTATGATGATTTATTTAAATTGAAACTGTGTCGAGTTGTTGAGCGTTGCCTGAGCCAAGTCACGCGTTAGGCAACACTCATGCATGTGTGTGTGCGTGTGTGTGTGTGTGTGCGTGTGTGTGTGCGTGTGTGTGTGTTCATATAACGAGTACTCGTTATTCATTGAATGGTTATTCTAGAAAACTTTCGAATTCATATTTCAAGTGCATCGAATGTGGTTCAAGTGCAGCTGCAGCTTGAGGCACGTCACGAGATGCGGCGACAGTCACTTTTCTTCTTCTTCTTTTTTGTTGTTGTTTTTTTTTTTTTTTTGCCACAGATCAACTAATTACCTTGTGCTTAAGTAACCCCAGGCCCGAAGCCGCCCCCCTGCACAGCTTACTTTTAGCTGCTAAAATTTGTTGCATTGAATGTAGTTGTTTTTTTTTATTTACTTTTTATTTGGGTCTGCGGCCTTGCACTTTACAGTCACAATTACGAAAATTATAAAAGAAAAAAACAACACTTTGCTAATAGTTACGAATGGGCACTTGAGTGGGCCGTTGCCATAGGCCCGGCTATGGAGGCTACTTAGCCGCATTGTATTATCGCGTGCCATAATTTCAGTTGTTAATTTGTTGTTTGTTTTTTATTTTTTGTTCTCAGTTTTTGTTGCTGCCTATTTGAGAGTACCCTTTTTATGTGCAGTTGGACCGAGGGCATCTTCGACCAGTCATGTATATTTCGATATTCTCACATTAGCATTGCATCGATAAATATCGATTTTGAGATATGTTTTCTTAAACATAGCTCGAAATTTAGAAGTGTCAGATATACCATAATTGGCATGTCGATTTTCGTATGGTATACACAGGTTACGATAGGCAGATATCTTATGATATATGTAGATAAATATCGATAATGAAATAAGATTTTGTCATATAAACTTGATGATTCTATTAGCTAGCGACGATAAACTTGGTATGCGGGTTTTCCATATTGAATGTACAGGCATGATAATTTACATTTTGGAAGTTCCCTACAAAATTCAAAAAAATAGAACGAATTAATGCAAGCGCCTTGGCCTTGCCTTGGCATATGCATAGTTTTGAATGCCATTTTGAGGCAGTACAAATTTCATAAAGATCGGACTATAAACACCGAAGTTAATCAAGGATACATGATCCATAAATAACGTGAGGCACAAGTAAATCTAATGTGTCTGTAATGATAGCTTGTCAGGGTATCTTCTCCTCGGACATTACCGACTAGGCAGTCTAGTTTTTCTTTATGCCGCAAAGCGTCGTCGAGTAGCACTTGTGTGCCATAATTATAAGTCGCCCTATGGGGGGTCAGGTGCCTGGCGGCGCCCCTCTCTTGCCCTGCCCAACCTCGGTGTGTTTGCATTGTTAATTAATTTGTTTGTGCCCGCTTGTCAGCAGTGTGTGTGTGTGTGTGTGTGTGTGTGTGTGTGTGTGTGTAGAGTGAGATAGACTCTATATGGCAAGTCGAGTGCATATATCATATGTATATATGTATAAAGTGCATTGGATCGTTTGCCAAAGCCCTCAGCTGTTTTGTTTTCTTTATTTTATTTTTTTTTGCTAAATTCCCTGCAATGGCTAATATAACTTTATCAGGTTCTTAATTGCAGCGCTGATAGTAGAAATAGGCGTTAGATTTCTTTGAAGAAGCTAAACAAAGATCTGGGCTTGATAGCATTTGAAGAGAGTTTCGTCTCGGCTCTATATACAAAAAGGTTTTTTAAATATCCTTAATATGTTTATTCCTCTTTGATTGCCTTCTTCTAATTGTAGAGTATGTAAACTTCGTAGCATTTCATTTGCTTTCTATTGCACTCGACTCTTGTTGTCGTTGGTCAGTGAAAAAAAATTCAAAAATAAATAAATGAAAAAAAATCTATTGATAGGTGCTCATAAATTATTAGAAAAGTTACAATTTTGTATGCACAGAACTTCAGCTAGAGATAAGATACGTTTTACGTATAAATATATATGTATTTATATATGTAGGCATCTCGATCTGGGCATATCAAGTGCATAAACAACTGCCGAGTAGAGTGAAAATTCAGCAGTTTGCAACTGGTTGTTGTAATAGGCTTAGAGTGTTGACCACATATACATACAATATATATGTACATATATATATATACATGCATATGGACGGCAAAGTCAGTTGAGTAATGCTATTTATATCTGCTGATAAACAATGCCGTAAATATTGCACCCCTTGCTAGTTATATACGACTATATAAACACAGATATACATACTTATGTATGTTTTAATTCTCCATTATTCCCATATTGTAGTTAGGTCGTGCGAGCAGTTTTATACCGGTTTCGTTGGCTTAGCTGAACCGTTCTCCATATAGTTACCATATAGTATACATAAACTATTTGTAGTATATATGTTTATTATGATTGTTGACTAAAGCTGCTCGTGACGCGCATCCACATCTCTGGATGATTGCAAATGCCGATAAGGCACAGCTCGCATCTCGCATCTCGGATCTGGCGGTTCTGGGGCCTTGACATCTGTTTAGGGTTAGGCCTCTCGCAGCCCAAGTGCATTCTAAATAATGTTTGCCATGCATTTCTATGGGTCGTACGTCAAAGCTTCATATTGCTGCCATTAGCCAACAGGCTTTATCAGCTGGCTAAACTTTTTCGATGCTGATTAATGAGGCAGTTATAGCAAAAGGAAGCAAGAAAAATAAGTGAATAAAAATAAATAAAAAAAAAAATTGGCTGTCAACAGGCCATTAAAATCATGGCCCAAGTCTAGCAATTGTAGCACATAAATCAACAAATTTAGCAGCCGAAATAAAATAAGTGAAAACGAAAACTTTTATTAGACTCAATTGAAGAAGTTGTCAATTGGAAGAAATGAATTTTGTTTTTTTTTTTTTTTTTTCTTTTTTTCGGGTGTCAGTTATAGCCAGCGGCGCCAGTACAGTCTGGCATGGTGTCTGCTGGCTTGTGGCTTTAATTAACAGTGACTTTTGTTTAGTTAGACGACGTTTGCACTTAGCACCAAGTTTTGACACCTCTGCGACAACTGCACACATGCCCGCATACAAATAAATGGATTAGAATAAGAAAGAAATAAATATAACTAACAGACATTTTCCTTTCTCTAGTGCTGAAAGAGGAACCGGATGATTTGTCGCATCATTTGGCCAGCACCGCCTGCATACAGCTGGATGAGATGCCGCCCTTTGGCGAGATGCTGGGTCTCATGAGCTCCTGTTTGCTGCCCGATGATATCAATTCCTTGGACTCGACCACCTGCTCGACAACAGGCAGTGCACCGCTCTATCACAATAACAACAACAACAACAACAACAACAGCAACAACAACAGCAACAACAATAGCAGCAGCAACAGCTACAATAGCAATCGTCAGAGTTTAAGCACAGCAGCAAATGCGGGCTCAGCTAGCAGCAGAACTAACAGCAACAACAGCAGCAACTGCAGCAGCAGCAACAGCAATATCAACGGCAGCAGCAATTGCAGCAACTGCAGCAGCAGCAACAGCAATATCAACGGCAGCAGCAATTGCAGCAACAGTCAACAGCAAAGTCAGGATAACAGCAGCAGCCACAGCAACAGCAACAGCAGCAGCAGCAACATTGATCCGCTGTTCAATTATCGCGATGAATCGAATGACACCAGCTGCTCACAGCATTTGCACTCGCCCAAGGTGTGTAGAAGCCCGCTTGAAAAGCTGGAGATATCGGTGAATAAATTAAGACTTTTACCCTCAACTCTTACACAGACACCCGAGGACAGCAGCTTGCCCTCGCTGTGCAGCCCGAACTCTTTGACCCAGGAGGAGGATTTCTCATTTGTCGATTATGATATGCGTGCACCCTATATAGCCATGGACGATGATATGCCGCTGCTCACCGAGGGCAATGTCATGTGGGGCTCTGAGGTGGACAGCATGCAAGAGCATTTGCAACAATGGCAGCAGCAGCAGCAACAGCAGCAGCAACAGCAGCCACAACAGCAGCAGCAACAGCAGCCTGCCTCCACAGTGTCCTCGCTGTCGCCGTCGCCCGTGCAGCAGCATCAACAGCAGCAACATTCAAATGTTTTTAGCACCGGCTCCAGCGAGCTGGCAGCAATGCTTTGCGGCAGCGGCAGTGGCACGCTCTCAATTTTGGACAATGCCTCGATCGAGGATCGTTTGCAGCAGCAGCAGCAAGACTTTCGCAGTTTCCAGCAGTTGCAACAGCTGCAGCTGCAAGAGGAGGAGCAACAGCAACAGCAGCAACAGTTGTTGAGCCTCAGTATTGAGTGCAAAAAGGAAAAATATGATGTTTCATTGGCCGCCAGCTTATGTCATTCGATTGAAGATGCATTTGAGAATGATTACATCAAAGATTGTGAGTATAGCAAACGAAAGTAGTTGCTCCATCTGAAATATGCAGCAGGCCGTTAGAAAATTGCTAGCTTAAAGCTACAAATGAAAGGGAGGAGGCTAAAAATTCTAAAATCGAACTCTGAAATATGCCCAGAATTTCATATATAGATATTTTAGTCGGGGGCTTTTTTCATTTCTCTTTTTTTTTTTTTTGTTTTTTCTTCTGGCAGCAACACCTACGCGGCTTCAACAGACAGCCTGCTGCCGGCTAATTAGGTAGTTGGTCTAAAGATTTTTCCCCACATTTTCCCATACACAAATACACACACACACATTTTCACACTTTTGACAATTCTTTTCAATTTTTTTCTTCCAACAAATACTGCATTTGGAGAGGCCTAAATTTTAGATAGCTATGCGCGCGTTTATTTATAGACATATACATAAATATATTTATATGTATACATTGGTATATATTCACATGTACTTGTTTATAAATATATATACGTATAATTATATGTATATATATATATATATATATGTGTGTGTTTGGGCGTTTGTGTGTTTTGTAAAAATAGATGAAAACATTGCCACAAATTTTCACATTTATTTGGATTACTTGCAGTCGGCATTTAAACAATATCAAGTAATATGTCAGGCCAGCTCGTCTCCTATTCTCAAAATCTTTGGCAACACTCAGTTTCTCAGATTTCCTATTCAATCTTTGCATAGAAACGTATATTTGCAAATCAAAGTCAGCCTTATATTATATATTATTTAGCATCAGAAAGCTGGCATGGGAACTAACCGCCAACTACTTTCAAAATATTCCTTTCTTTTTCATAGAATTTCCCAAGCATTATGCTCAATGCTTAGCGAAATTCGAACAAAGCAAACTCTAGTAACCTTAAGTTTTCATAAGATCAGCATTTCTTTATTTTCTTTTCGAAGGTATCTTAACCAAGCAAAGGCAAAAAACAAACTTTCAGCGTGATTTCTATTCAATCTATTCAATTCTCTGCTTCACTATCCATGAAAAACATGCATTTGTTTTTACTGAACACTTGTAATTGGGTAAAAGTTGATGTATAATTCAAAACATTTTCCAGGGTATTTAGCCGTTGAATACCTCATCTGCGTGCTCATCTCTCAATAAGTTGTCAAACAAAACTGACGGCGAATTGGGACTGAGAGTTAATTGATGCAGGTCTTCAAGCCCAAATAGTTTCCACAATTACCAAATAGAAGTTGTTGCTGCCAACTTGGGGAACTGATATATAATTTTAACACATGCCGCAGGGCGGCGACACGCCCCTTACCTTTGACACATGTCACGCAGCGGTAGAGACAGACCTGATTGATGCCTGTGGCCGAGACTGCGAGGGGAATGGGGGTGGGGCCAGTCCCTGTCAGGGGGCAGACGCTGCCCGTCGTTTGTTTAGATAATTTTTTCGTTTTTGTTTTGGCATATAGACAGATGTCTGTGGAGTGTTTTTTTTTTATGCCTAGCATAAAATAGCCATATACACATAACATATACAAAGCAGCATACATACATATTTTTATACATATATATAAATATATATCCTTTGTATGTGCTGCTCATAAACAGATATTTTTCACTTTTTGGCACACACGCAAATTTTCACGAAAGAAAATAAAATTGTAGAAGATTATTATTGTTTTAAATTAGCATCAATGTCATGGGCAAGAGGAATTAATTGCTCGTCTGTTTGCCAGCAACAGCAGCAGCAGTAGCAACAGCAGCAGCACGCACAATAAATTCTGGGCAACAAAATAAGACTGAATAATAATTAAATTCATTATAGTTAATAGTCTAGCAAATACCCTAACGAACTTTGCACAATACCTTTTGTAGAGCTCAAAGATATCATTCCAATGTATGCCCATGCCGAGAAGCAAGAGTATGACTTACATATGCATGATGTTTAGGGAAGAGGGGGTTGGGTGTAGAAAAAGTAAACTATTTTGAATCTGTGTATAGCAAATGTCGAGCTGCATACAATATATGAGGATCCTATTTCTTATAATCTTCCTAGAAATTTTCAAAAAACATTAAGAACAACCACAAAAAGTAAACTATTCTGGATCTGTTTTTACCATAAGAGGTATGCTATCTTATAAAATCTTCGGTAAATGTGCAAAAAACCTAATCGATTGCTATCGATTCTAAATTGAAATGCAAGGTATCGATAACATATTGAAGCAAGTCTGCTCAGTGATTACAGATGATTCGTGCTTATCATCTTATAATCTTCGAGAATTCTCCACTTAACTCGTGCAGTGAATATGGCTGAACAGATGGACTCGGTTTGCAATATACCGTTTTTTTTTTTTTTTAAGTAATTTGGGTACTTAAAATATTGCTGCATATTTCATGAATTCTATTTAGCATCAACTTCTATTTTGTGCACAAATTTTGACTTGCTTATTTGCATTTTTAATTGTTATTTAGCCAACAATTTGGATGGCTGGCCCGATTTTCTGCAAATCAATGTGGCTGAGGCCAGCAACAGTCCCGCAGTTTCACCAGCGACAAGCAAAGTGTCACCATTGCAGCTGCTGCAGCAGCAACCCTTGCAGCTGCAACAGCCACAGTTGGAGCAGCAGCAACAGCAACAACAGAATATCATATTGAATGCAGTGCCATTGATAACCATACAAAGCAGCAAGACAATGTTGCAACAGCAACAGCAACAGCAGCAGCAGCAGCAACAACAACAGCAGCAATCAGAGGAGGAGTTGCAGGAGCTGGTAGTGTCGGGCAAGTTGCCCGCCATGAGGCTATTGAGTGGCACCAAGGCAACCATACGCGTGGTGGAAAGCAAGGCCACGCCAACAACAAAGGCAACGTTGCTGCAAACAATGTTGCCACAGCAGCAACAACAGCAACAGCCACATGGCAGCAAGCGTCATTTAAACAGCCAATCTGCTGCAGATTCGAAACGCCTGAAGAGCGGCACCATGACGCTAGAGGTGCAGTCGCCTCAGCTGCTGCAGCAGCTGATGGGCAAGGAGCAACAGCAACAGCAGCAGCAGCAACAACAGCAGGCAAACAAGCGGCATGCAAGCGAACGCTGGTCCACGACAGCTGATGCCAAGCAGCAGAAACAGCATCAGCAGCAGCAGCAGCAACAGCAACAACAACAACAACAACAGCAACAACAACAAGAACAGCAACAATCAGGCTCCGTGCTAAAGAATCTGTTGGTAAGCGGACGTGATGTTAGTGCCGGCTATTGCATTGTGCCCATGCGGCCCAAGAAGCAGTTGGCCAAGGTCTAGAGCTGGATGCGTGCCACTGCCACAAACAAAAAACAAAAACAAAAAGTGTTGTACAATTGAACGGACAAGACCATTTCTACAATTTGTACTTTGTAAATGGAACGATTTTATAGACAAGAACGCCCCCCTCCTCCTCCTAACCACCCATCCGCCCCGATACCCACCCCACAACCCGGAGACAACCCAAAATCCTAAAACTAAACTTAAACGACAGCCGCTGGCGCAGCAAATGTTGCATGCAACGTGCCGCCAGCAGCCAGTCAGGGCTTAGTTATAGTTGCATATATCTATATATATATATATAGCGTGTATATATATATATTTATATATGTTTAGTTTAGCTTTAGCCATAGTGTCTACCTAATAGAGTTATTGCATAATGTTTAGTCTAATTTAAGCAGCAGCAGCCGTGTGGACTTTAAAATTATAAATTTTAGTGGACTATTTAAAATAGTCATCATCATTGAACTAAGTGTTAAGCCTCAGTTTATAGCGACTTTTAATTTTCCTTCTATACATAGATATTAATTATATTTTTTTTAAATCAATTTTCCCACATTTATTTACGCCCCCCTGCCCTTAAATTGCTTTATTTGTTGATTTCATTTTAAGGCCATGTTGTTATATTTTGTTGAGCATCTGTATAGTATGCTATATATTTTTATTGTACATAAACATATATATACATATATATATATATATATATATATATATATATATATATACCTACCACATACACATATATACATTTAATAAAGCTAGCGCATAGTTACGCATAAGTCGAGCGTTTTGGGCTACAGTGACTACCAGCAGCATCACAACCGGCAACAACTAGCAAAAATTTCAATAATTAAAAGAAAGAAAATTAATCCAAAATAAAAAAAAACCAACAAATTATTTCAAGTGAAAAAAATATCTGTAAAAAAATTTAAATGTGGCATTAACTGATTTTGTTTGTTTCCTCCCTGCGTTCTTCATTTGTTTACTGTGATAGCCATATTGCGTTTTTGTTATTATTATTATTAGCAAATATCTTGATTTTATTTGGTGTAATTTGTTAAATGTGTAAGCATTTTTTGACTGAGTGGCAGCAACAGAAGCAGAGCCAGCGCCAGCTTTAAATAGAGCGTGAAATAATTGTTAAATGAAAAAAAATAATCAAGCAATATTCGAAATTATTGCAAAATATGTCTACAGCGTTTTAATTCGAATTCAGTTTTTTCCTAATAGATCACTTTAGTTGACAAAAAAAGAGAAGCGAAAAGCAAGGAGTGGAATATACCCTGTAAATTGTAAACATTGTGGAAACAGAATTGAAATTCGAGCGCTGATGGTACAAAAAAAAAATAAAAAAAATAAATACAAGAAATAATAAAATTAAATTAAAACTATTAATTAGCTAAAATTAATTATAGTCAAAATGGAAAGTCAAAAGTCAGGCTGTAGGCAGATTTACCTAGTTATAGCTCTACAACCTATACATATACCTAAAGTAAATATACCTAAGCATATAGCAAAAACTAAACTAAACTAAACTAAACTAAAAACGAAACTAACTTAGAGTTCTAAGGCATTTCCTAGTGCAGCGTAGCGCCAGTTATCGAAGAAAACAGAATCAAATTACCTTCAGTCATGTTCCGCAATTTCACTTTCGCTGCAATGTCATGGAAATATGTTTCTACTTTAAAGTTTATGAAGATGTTGAAATAAGAGCTCACATATCTCTATGAAATAGGCTTGCAAGTGAAATCGAGAACATGGCTGCATATTTATGCAAGGTTCGAGCTTTTGGAGTCTAGGCCATGCTGTAGTTCAACGAAATTGGTTTGCCATAACGTTTTTTTAAGGTTACAGCTTGCAGCATATTGGCTAGCTGCATGCTTGAATCAGTTGAGAATTCTAAGCGAGTTTCTCCGAAATCATCAAAACAACTTTTGAGCAAGTCGAAAGCTGCAACATGGTCTAACACTCTCAGCAAATGAACCAAAACCGTAACTAAAACAAAGACATAGCACAATTTGAAGCACTCATTTGTCTTAATTTAATATTTTCTTTAAGTTTCAATCACACTTAGCATAAAAGTAAAAGAAAACACAAAAAAGCTGATTATTTTGTTTATTCTACTTGGTTTCCATATTGTCTTTAATTTTTTTTATTTTGGCTTTTTAAAGTTTTTTTTTTTTTTTTTTATTGATTTTACATAAGTACTGACCACTCGCTGTCCCACTTTGCGTGGCTCGTTGTGTGTGGTGCGTGCCCAACATATTATTCATTGTGACTTTAATTAAACTTTGTTTTGTGAGCGTGTGTGTGCGAGCGTAAGGCGTGCCTATCGCTCATTTGCGTGTGTGTGTGTGTGTGGGGTGCCTATTGAGATTCCCCCCAAAGCACAGCCGGTGTCAGCTTTCAAATCGTATTCATAAATATCCAAGACGATATCAATTTACACGCAAGGCTTATAACCAACCTACTTGGATAAAAACCAGGATAACAAATGACGGAAGCGACTGATCAATACCCTGTTAATTGGCTTGAAAAGAGTCTTCTTTATTATTAGTTTAGTAGGTCTTAAAGGTTTATTTACATTTTTTAACACTCTTATGAGATGTCTGTCTGTCAGCCAGTCTATCTGTCTGTTTTTCGGCTCTGTCTGACTGTCCATTTGGGGCTAATATACGGCTATATATTCCAACTTTCTAAAAACCTTAGCGCCTTACTTACTTTTACTGAGACTTTCAAAATGATTCTTAGCACGTGCCACATACTGGCTATTGACTGTAGTTAGGGGGCGTGGCTGTTTATAGACACCTACCTGATGCCGGGCCATTGAGTTTCGATTTCACATGCATAAAATTAACATATTTTATTGCCTTTTTACAGGGGCTTTAAGGCAGCGGCTGCTGGCTCGTATTGATTTTACACCTCGTGCCAGGGGCAGCCAATGCGTATTTGTCCCACAGTACCAAGCTGTGTCTATCCTTTAACGGCCTTTTATTCGTTTTTTGTTTGCTTATCCTTTGCCTTATTCTTTGCGCCTATTCACTTTCTTTTTCACTTTTTACGTTGAGCGCAAAGCGCACAGCTGATGCGCTCTCACTTTTACGGTGGCTCATTGACTCAACTCGCTCTTCCTCTCTCTTTCTCGTTCTCTGTCGCGCTCTTTCTATCTCTCCCTCTTTCTCTCTGTATGTATTTGATGGCCCCGTTTTTATGGCCAACACGAGCTAAGCTCATTTTGTAGGCCCACACTTTCTCCCACGCCTGCAGTTAGAGCTTGTTTTCGTTTTCTGTAGCTTTGTCCTCTTCCTGTAAATGTCAACGACTGCTGCAACATATTTTGGCTGTTACGAAATATGCATAGTGCGAGTGTGCCTGTGTGTGTGGAGTACACTGCTGTTGTCTAAAATTTGCTGCCTACTTTTGTGCGCAAAGAAAATTCATTTTTATGATTTTTTATTGTAATTTTATTTATGTATTTTTCTTGTTCTTAAAAGCTTTTCACAAACATTTAGAAAAATCACAATATATATAGCAAAAATGTTTTTTATTACTAAAAAATTAAACCAAAACTACCTCTCGTCTACGGCAGTTAAAGAACCGTAACTACCTCCCGAAACACTCAACGATAAAAAACATGAAAAAGAAAAACGAACAACTATAAAAACCAGAGCGTGTTCTCAGCTTAACAAATGCTGCATAGGAAATTTAACTGTTAAGTAAAAATTATAGGAATCGAGAAATTTGATAGACAAATTCCGAAAATTGATAAGCAATCCTCAACAAAATAAGAAATCCTACATGGTAGCGTTAAAAGTATATACATATATTAAGTAAAAACTATTTATCGTAACTAGACAAATACCAGGACAATTAAAAGAGTATTTCCTTGATAATCATTTAGAATGTCAGATATCCCAACTGATTGCAAAATGGTGCAAGTTGAAAATATTAAATAATTCTAGCCCGAAAAGACTGCGAGCCAAAAACTCTCAAAATTATTATTATTATTATATATATATACAAACCAAAAGCAAAAAAAAAAAAAAAAGAGCAAAAAAAGAAAAGATGAAAGCCTATAATACCATACTATAATACAATATATAGTTATGTAAAGGGAGTTGCTTGTATGTAGAGAAAACGAGTGGAATATGAGGGAAATGCAAAGCAAACACCAGGCATACTTTTTGCATTAGCAATTTGCCTAGCAGAGATCGACTAAAACAAAAAGACGAAAAAAAACACACTTATATATTATTCGATGTGGCTTTAATTAAACTATATTCAAAACAAAGATACGACTAAACTTCTAATAAGTAAAAACCCTCAAAATCAAGTCAAATTTGTTTTGCATTAATATATTAAGCGACTACTCATAGATATATGCTGCATATATACATTCATACATACTTACCTACATGCATACATTTATACAAATCTATTCATATAAGATTTAGTTGAAATTTTTTCGCGTTACGTATGAGAGAGTGATCGGATATGGGAATGGAAATGGGCCGAAGTAGTACGTGAAGTAATGATATAGCTTTATCGAAAGGAAGTGCGAGAGGAGCGAGTAACGAGTTCGATTTGTAACGAGTGCACTTTTAAACTAGTACAACTTGTAACGGGAGCAACTCGAGCGAGTGCTGCTTGTTACGAGTGCAGCTTGAACGAATAGTATTTGTAAAGAGAAGAATTTGTCACGAGTGCAACTTGCAACATGTGTAATTCGATCGAAAACAAAGTTAAAAGTACACAGGTTAAGCGAGAAAGACATGTAAAGAGTAAAACTTGTAACGAGTGCAATCGGAGCAAGGGCAGTTTGTAACGAGTGCGACTCGAGCGAGTGTAACTAATAACGAGAAGATTTCGTGACGTGTGTATCACGTTAAATAAATGCAGCTTGCGCGAGGAGAACTTGTAGCGAG